TCCAATGTCCACATCATTAATGAAGATGTTGAACAATATGGGTCCAAGGACAGAGCCTTGGGGGACCCCACTGGTCACAGGGGACCACGACGATTGACTTCTGTCAATTACCACCCTCTGGGTCCGACCACAGAGCCAATTTCCCAGCCAGCGGATCGTGGTGGACCCGAGGCCATAATTGGCCAGTTTTGCCAAGAGGTGATCATGGGATACCAGATCGAAGGCTTTTTTTGAAGTCAAGATATATGACATCAATCTCTTCTCCCTTGTCCAGGTGATAGGTCACCTGGTCATTAAAACGAAATGAGATTGGTCAAGTAAGACCTACCCACAACAAACCCATGCTGGCTATCCCTCAGGATGTTGGCATGAGTCAGTCCATTAAGGATGGCGTCTTTAATAAACTTTTCTAAGATCTTCCCCGGGATAGAAGTCAGACTGATGGGCCTGTAGTTTGCCAGATCCACTTTCCTCCCTTTCTTGAAGATAGGCACCACATTGGCCTTCTTCCAGTCTTCGGGCACTACACCAGAGCGCCAGGAGTTCTCAAAGATCCGTGCCAGGGGCTGGGCTATGATGCTCGCCAGCTCCTTGAGTACCCTGGGGTGTAGATTGTCAGGGCCGGCTGACTTGAAGGTATCCAGCCTCTCAAGGTGTTCCTTCACGAGGTCAGCATTGATGGATGGTAGAGGATCTCCCTCACCTGGACCTGCATGTCCTGTAGCGGGCATGGGCGTCCCATGGGACTGATGAAAAACGGACGCAAAGTATCCATTTAATAGGTTGGCTTTTTCCTGGGCATCAATTGTCTGTTGCCCCATCTGGTTCAGCATGGGTCCAATGTTTCCTTTGCTTTTCCTCCAGCTCCCCACAAATCTGAAAAAGGACTTTATATTGTCTTTGATGCTCAAAGCTATTTGGAGTTCAGTTGCAGCTTTGGCTTTCCTGGTTTACTCCCTGCAGGACCGGACCAGTGCAGAATATTCCTCCTGTAAGATGTGTTACAGTTTATTGCATGATTACCATGTTTATTACACAAGAAGTGTAAAGTCTGCTTGTGGCCCTAGATGACATCATAGGTTTTGAATTGGGTCCTATTTGCTTATACTGAGAATAAGAAATAATCATATCTCCGTTCCTGTGGTGAGACAACTATTGATTAAAAATTAAGAGCTCTTTAGGTCAATCAGTGTAATTGTGCATGTGATTTTTAAATGACTTTAAAAAGATTATATAAATTTCCAGCACAAACATTAATCCAGATACTAATCTGTTGTAAAGTGCCACCTTTGAAGCCAATAGAAACATGCCAGTTCAAACCAGAAGAGAAATTGAACTGAACAAAATCTGGTTATGAGAACAAAATAGATTCTGAATCTGTGGACAAGTTTTAGTTCTTAAGCAGACAGAGGCCTGAACAAAAACCCAGACCAAACACTACCAGACTAGGGCTGAAGCTTCGATTTAGTTTAAAATGTTGTTTGTGGCAACCATAAATTAATTTATAATTATAGAAGTGAAGCTAGCTAAAGGGTAGATTCTTCGTGCACATTGTTCCCACTGTAGTATTTGGCAACACAAGTTAAGTTGTAAGTAATACTTAATTATGACCAAAAACCCAGGTAATTAATAGTTGTTATACTTTTTTGTGTCTGGGTCTGCAGGCCAGCTCCAGTGGTTTTACATTCCATAGGTTGCCTCCTCCTATAACAGAGTTTTTTAGGATGTGATCCTTTCTTTTGAATACGAAGGAGTATTGCTTAAGCACTTCAGTGTTGTGTGTGTATATATATTTGCTCTCAAAAAAAGAAAGTTAGACCCTGATTCTGCAGTGAACTTTGCTTCCCTGATTTCAGTGACGTTTAGTATGTACACAAAGGTCTGTTTCCCTTGGGTTGTTGCCAGGTTAGATCTTCAGATTATAAACTGCTTGGTATAGAACATGTTGCCTGATATTTTTACACAGTGTCAAACGTCCCGTGATCAGTAATAAGAATAGCAACTAATTTTATGCCAAAAAATTAAGATAAACTGTAATCACACCTTGTCAGCTGTTTTAATACTGCTATCAAGCATTTCTCTCCTTTTACAAACACCAATGATTTTTTAATTAAACTATCTTTGAAATTATGTGAAATATTTATGTAATTTTTAGGGATCAAACCAAAAACTTACATATTTTTAAAATCTTATAATACATCATGATAGCAATATTGGCCTGAATTCATAGAAGATATTGGAGCCTTGGTGAGATTATGTGTTAATCTTTCTAAGAAATTTAAGACTGAACAAATTGCCAGGCAAGTATTAAATTTCAAGATGCACATGGAATGATTTTAAATAAGCATTTTGAAGTGAAAACAAATCTGTCAGAGAGAACGTAGATGTAGGTGGAAGGTGGAGGACACAATCCACATACTGTGATTATGTTTATAAAAGTGACTGTACAAATGGTTCCTTGTGACTGAACATGGCTATATACAAGTCTTGCTTCTGAGTCATGTTTCTCAGTTAAATGATTTCTTTTAAAACATGGTTTATTAAGGCTAACAATGTACATTCACTGTCACTGCAGAAATGCATATGCTGTCTTTTATTGTGCCTCAATTATCGTTATCCAACCTGCCAGCTACTGTTTGATGCTACAGATTTTATTATATGATGTTTGGGTCAAATACAATGCGACTTACTTTCAGGTTACATTTTGATCTTGCAGTAATGGTAGTCAGAAAAATCTTGTTTGACTTTTTACTTAACAATTTTGGCATGAAAGCCATTGATTGGAAATAAATGTGGAAGATGGTTGTCTATTTCTTTTTCTTGAGTCTCTCACTCTCCCTTTTAACTTGAGTAAATCTTTCCTGGAGTCTTGGCGTGTGAAGAGCTTCATGCTTGATAAGTGTTGAGCAGCTAGACAGCTGGTAGTTAGAGCACTTACCTGGGAAGGAGGACACTAAGGACGCATCCAAACGAGCGCGCACGTGCGTTTCCCTGGGGACAAATAGCAGCAACACAACTATATGCTGCTGCTTGTCCCTGGAGAACGCCCCTGCTCATTCTAGCTCTTTTTCTATGACTAGTGAGCCTGTACTCCATGAAAAGTGGGACAGCTTCATCTGAAGAGCCATCTCAAAGAGGCTTATAGACTGGTGGTTGGGGCACAGTCTCGGAAGGTGGAAGATACGGGTTTGAATCTTCTCAGGCAGAAGAGAGAATTGAACCCAGATCTTCTGTATCCTGGATAGGTGCTCCAACCAAGGAAGAGTTGGATAAAAGGCAGTTGGCACCACCCTCTTCTTTTCTTCTTCTTTTGCTCCATTTTGACTGAAAGGGCTGATTCTTGCCCAGTATTTTCAAAGAGGCTGAAGTGTTTACCTCTAGGAGAGGATTCGGGGCTGTGGATCTCCTGTAAAGGGATGTACCTTCGTACAGCCCAGAAGAGTTCTGCTTCACTAAGTCCAAGAGAAAGATGGGATTCAAGGCATCCTCCTCTCCAATATTTTCTCTTACCTAGATTAGGTGGCTCATGTTCAGTCATACCAGCTACTGTGAAATTCCTTCCTGAGGCAGTCAGCTCCTCCCACACATTGGATCTAGCTCCGAGCTGTGGATTTCATTACCATAGCAAGGGACTGAAAACTTAGGTGCTTCAAAATGAAATGTTGTGGTCCCTACTCCTTATGTGGTTTTAACCCAATGCTCCCAGTTTCTGAGCATTAAGTAGAGAGACCCACGGTGCTTTCAGGATCTAAGCTAAAGCCCAGAGTGACATCAATTGAAAGGTTCCCATGAGGACCTTGAATCAGCCTTAAACAACCCCATTCAGGTAAATCATTCAGATGGCACTGTAAGTTAATACTACTCTCAAGAACAGTAAATATTATTGTTAGAAGTGAAAGAAAAAATGCCAGTAAATATTCTTTTTCAGCACTCACAAGCAAGAACTGGAGTATTATTTCAGCTATTTAAATAATGTTGTCTAGGAGCAGAATCGCAAAGAAGCACTCAGATAATGGAGAGAGTGAATATGGAAAATGGCCAAGACTTGTCCTCTATCAGCTTCTCAGTTATTCACTATTAATGTGTTAATAATGAAAGTAAAAAAGGAAAATGAAAAAAACAGTTTAACTTACCATAGACGGTGAGAGCTATAATAAGACCGAGAGGTTAGAGCTTCTCCAAAATATGTTAAAATGCTTTCTCAATTAGGCTGACATTTCCAGTAAGTCAGCACAGCAAAAGAGATGTTGATTAATGTTTTTAATAAATTCTTTCTATCTGTCCACGTAATGGCTTGGAAATTTCAACAGTGCTCTTGGGTGCAATTACCTCCAGTGACTAGTTCCCAGAATGGCAAATCTGTACCCTAACCAAAGTACAGTGTGGGAGGCTTAATTTGAACTATTAATATGTTTAAAATGGAAACCACTCACATTGGGGTGCAGTTTGGAGGGTTATATTGCTTGGTTCTGGTTTGGGGAGGAGGAGATTGTTTATGTTTTGCTTTTGACACAAGAACAGAAATAATCCTGTGACCTATGTTCCCCAATCTAGTTTCATATTCAAGCCTGGAAGATCACATGTACTTGAAATTCTGCTGCTGAAAGTGCCAGGCAGTCCTTCCCTGTGTCTGTTTTCAAACCTTTCCTCACCAACAGTGAAAGTGGCTTGTAGTGTTCATAGTGTAGTCACCTTTCTCATGTACAAATGCAACATCATGTTTGTGCTTTTCACTTTGTAGGGACCTCCTCCAAACCTTAACTGATGACGAGTTGCACACACTGGAATGTAACCTCTGCATATCCCAAGACTTGGATTTTCCTGTCAGAACAGATCCTGAAGTGCCATCTGTCATTACGCCTGCCTTAGCGGCAACTTTACCTACTGAAGAGCTTTCAGCAAAAGCTGAAAACACAGAGACTGAACTAGCTTGCTCTATGCAGTATGATGAGCAGGAACTGGAACAGCTGAATAGGATGGTCCATAGAGTAGGAGATGAGATGTCATCTTTGCTGTCCCCACCAAGCATCTGCCAGTCCCCAGCACATAGACCTGGCATAAGAAGCAGCTCCAGCTCAGAGGCCTCCCCAAGCAGGCAATGTCTTCATAATTTAACCGATGAAGAAGACAGGGTGTTTTTTATGGATGATCTAGATGGAGCTGGTGAAGCTCTTGCTGGGTTGGATTCAGCTAATGACACTTTTGCCTGGGTAAACAGTCCTTGCCACAATTCAAAGCAGAGTGTGCAGTACAGGGACCCCTTAGCGTATGAAAATGTTCATGAGACAGAAGCGATTTTACTTTTGAAACAGGCAGAAAGCGACTTAACCAATAACAACAACATTGAAGATAGCAAACAGATGTCTGGTATCTCTGTTCAGAATTCGTGCAGTTGTTTAGAAGGCCCTGATTCTCAATTATACCTCAATGGGTGGGATGCGTACGCTGATGATGCAGAGACAGCAGAGATGATAGCCCATAGGACTGGTGGAATGAAAATATCTGCTACTGTAATATTTAATCCCAAATCTCCCTCTACTTCAGACTCCCTGGAAACAACCCCAGAAGTAGCCGTTGGTTGTATTCCTGGGTCTTCTGATCCTTTAGCTGATGAAGAGGAGAATGAATCCCATAAACTCAGTATAGCTGCCACAAACTGTCTAATTAATTCCTGTGTATGTTGTGGCAGCTGTGAAGACAGCAGGGAGGAAAATATTGAAGGTATAAAGACCAAACATTCCCCAGGAAAAGTTATAAAAGCTTCATATAGTTTAGTGAAATCTAAAGAAAAGGACCATATGGATAAATTGGACAGTACAGTCTCTGCACAGGAGGCATTAAAAACTGAAATTTCTCCTGCTTTGCTAGCAGACTCTGGCAGAGAAGAGCAAAAACTGTCTAGCTCCTCTAAGTGCCTGGCACATTCCTCAGGTTTGCAGGTGGGAACAGAACATGCACCACAGGTAGAGGTGGAAATCTCCAATCAGCAAAAGAAATGGGAGAAAAGAAGGCAGGCATGTGAGATGCAATCAGAGAACAATGAAGAAAGCGGCAGTGAAAGGATAGCAAAGGAAGACATTAAATCAAGATCTAGTTCAAGGTAAGAGAAACTTGCCCTGATTATGTTACCTTAGGACTTGCATACAAAGTAACTGATTATAACCTGATCAAAGTTTTTACTCTCCTTGCTTTAATGACAAGCGTATGTGGAATGATGGCTTATGTTTAAACAAACCAAATGCTGCTGGCCAAAGAATTGTTGGCTATTTAAAAAAAAAAAAAAAAGTTTTCATAAAATAGTGAATTGAATTGTCAGTTATTTTCACAGAAAATATATTATGTGTTTTTAACAATTTGAAACAGGTATGTAAAGAATATAGTTTCATAGTTTGTAGGGTCGGAAGGGACCTGAGCAGATCATCGAGTCCGACCCCCAGCCTTGGCAGGAAAGAGTAGTGGGGTCAAACAGCCCCACCAAGGTGTTCATCTAGCCTCCTCTTAAAGACCCCCAGGGTAGGAGCCAGCTCCACTTCTCTTGGAAGTTGGTTCCAGATCCTAGCTGCCCTGACCGTGAAGTAGCGCCTCCTGATATCTAGCCTGAATCTACCCTCTGCCAGCTTGTGACCGTTATTCCTGGTCACTCCTGGCAGTGCTCGGGGGAACAGGGACTCCCCCAATGCCTGCTGGTCCCCCCTGACAAGTTTGTAAACGGCCACTAGATCCCCCCTCAGCCTTCTCTTGTGGAGGCTGAACAGGTTCAGGTCCCATAGCCTCTCCTCGTAGGGCCTGCCCTGCTGCCCCTGATCATGTGAGTGGCCCTCCTCTGGACCCTCTCCATGCTGTCCACATCCCTCTTGAAGTGCGGCGCCCAGAACAGGATGCAGTACTCCAGCTGCGGCCTGACCAGTGCCACATAGAGGGGGAGGATCACCTCCTTGGACCTGCTTGAGATGCATCTGTGGATGTATGACAAGGTGCAGTTGGCCTTCCTGACTGCATTCCCACACTGCCGGCCCATGTTCATCTTGGAGTCGATGATGACTCCAAGATCCTTTTCTGCCTCTGCACTGACGAGACGGGAGTTCCCCAGCCTGTAGGTATGGTGCTGTTCCTTCCTCCCCAGGTGCATCACTTTGCACTTGTCAGTATTGAATCCCATCCTACTCTCATCTGCCCACCCCTGTACCCTGTAACCTAGCCGCTAACCTTTTAAATAAATGCATTAAATAATATGTAATCTGGTTAGCCTAACAAAGAATTATTCTACTGGAAACTCTATGTATTATTTTTATTTAAAAGTGTAACTTGATTCTATTTTTGTGATACTTTTGAAAAGACACTTAATATGATCAATCATGGCACACAATGAATATTATTTTATGATGTTAGCACCAGTGTGGAAGACTGAGAGTAGTAACAACCTTTACTGTGAATAGAAATACAGATTTAGATATTTTGCCTTTCTGATTTAATATCTTTTTAATAGGTGCTAGAAGAATTCCAAAAAAGGTATGATACTTTCTATTAAAAAAAAAAAAAATTTGGTGGAGTTTTTTTAGCATAGTTTTTCCAAAGTGTTTTATTTTGGGGGAAAAAGACCTTTTTAACAAAAGAGAAACATTATTTTAAAAAATTTCAACGGACTTTTAATTTTTACTAGCTATTTTTTACTAATTAATAATTTAATGTGTATATTTTTTCCTCTTCAGAGGCGTCAGAGGATATTAGCTGACATTTATCCTCCCCAAAAAGCAAGAATTGTTATCCCAATTTGGCAAATGGTATTGGGGAAGCTAAAGCAGAGCAATTTAGTGACTTATCTAAGGCATCGAAGTGAAGCCGTGTTGATAAGATTGGAACTCTGCATCTCCCAGCTCTCAGTCTCATTTTCAGATCAGCAGCGAGCACTGATTGCTGTCTCCATGGTAGTGATACATACAGCTTTTAAAAGTCTGAATATCCCATACATTTTTTACTACAGCAAGGCACCTTGTAGACTCCATCAGAGAATTAGCACTTTTGCTGCTTTGTATATGCTAGCCTGGAGCGCCGAGGTCTATTTGTCACATTATATGGTGGAAGGAAAAAATGTTGGCTGAATTTTGCCTGAGTCCTATCCCCATCTTGTTGACAATTTCCCTAGTTTACTGTGATTTGCTCAGAATAGTTTGGAGAAGTACATGTACTCCAGGGAATCAAAACACAGGTGAGTGTAGCAGAGTGAGGCCAAGGCAGTGCCATGCTGTACAGTCCTATTGTTTTCATTGTATTCGGGATCCCAAAGCACCAGGAGTTTGAATCCTGGGAGAGCTGTCACCCAAGGCCTTCAACTTAAAGATTCTCTGTTTGATCAACTGATTTTCCAGCTCATCACTTTTCCTTGCCTGCCCATATACTTATGAAAGCAATATAAAATTCTTCTCAGCTTTCCTTAATTCCTTTGTAAAAGATGTGAAGTAATCACTGTTCTACTTCAGATTTACACTAAGCTTCTTTGGTAGGTAAAGTTTTGATCGATTTCAAGGGTGCAGGCAGGATACAATCATTCTCCTACTTCTAAGATAAGACCTGCTACTGTTTCCAAGGTCACAGCTGCCTGTGCTCTGCCTATCAAAACTATTTTGTCTGCTTCAGTTCACAGGATGATGAGTAATCACTGTGAAGAGTACAAAGCGCTATGAGTGTCTATTATGATATTCTAACTTCTACTACAATAGAAGCTTTCAATCTGTCAAGGAAAAAGAAGCCGAATCCCAAACCTGAGGGATGTATGCGTCTTTAATAGTGTGCACTGTTACTTAAACTAGAGTGTCTTTTTTAAAGCTGATGTTTCACACAAGAAAAGGGGTTTGCAGTTCTACATTACATGAACGATTGGGTAGTTTGGGAAAGTGTAGGTGAAAGTTAACAGGCACAAGGGACTGACCTCCTGATATGATGATATCAGCATATGGAGATACAAAGTTTTCCCACACTGATCCTTAATATGTTGTCTTTTTTAAATGAGGTCTAGCCTCAGCTCTTGTAACAGAGTGATCTGGTCCTTTAAGTAGGGCAGACAGCCCTGGGGTAGGAGCCCAGCTGTGGCTGATTAGCTGGCGGATTAAAAGTACAAGGGAATGAGGGCAAGCTGCTTGAGTTGGAGTAGGAACAGTTTGTGGCCAGAAGGCAGATGGAAACCCAGAGGAGCTTACTTCTAGGAAGGACCGAAGCTAGAGGTGTAACAAGGAGAGAGCGGAGGGGGCAGGGGTGTGGTTCTGAGAGCCGGGGGCACAGAAGTCTTAGCCATACTGGGAAGTCCAAAGCAGTTTGAGGCTGTGGGGCTGCTGCTGCTGTTACCTTGGGCTCTGCCTGCCCTGGCTCTTGCTTTTAAAGCAGCCGTAGCAGTGCATCCATGCACCACCAGGTGCTGCAGGAGTAATGCTGTAGGATTGCTCTTGCTGCTGGGGCGTGGACTTTGCAAGAGTGGGGGATGATTTTGGCACCCCTCCTTAGTTGGCTGGTGCCCCTCTTGTCCACCCCTAGTTACGCTACTGCTAATAGGGCCTTCTCTTGCTTCCTGGAGAAAGGCTAAAGTTTTTGCTTTGCTTGTTTGGGTCAAGGGTTATTTTTTTGTGGAATGGAGACTGGCTGAATGGCAAAGTCAGCTGGGGAGGCCGCTCAAGCCCACTTATGAACTATTGTTGACTGGGAGAGTGGTTCTTAGAGGGACAAAGCTCACTTGCATGGGAGCAGGCACGACCACCTGCTTACAGTTCCACTAACAATTACTTTTCTCCACACTTTTATTATAGCTCTTATATTTTACTGTCTCTGTATGAAGACTTACCTTGTGCATACCCTTTGAGATAAACACTGGCTTTTGCTCTGTGTGTATGGTGCCATGGATATCTAGTCTTTGCCTTGCATTTCCACTTTTACAATGTTACAAATGTTGCAGGTGTAGAAATGTCAAATATTAATAATATAGTAATACAGATAGGCAACATGGAGAAAAGAAATGAAACCAAGAGTCCCTCTGAGCCAAAATATTTTGACAGAATTAAATAGGTGCCTCCTTCTGCTATTCATGCAGTGTGAATAGTTTGCCTCGCAGTCCCGGGCTAGGATATCTTATATGCATGAACAGAATTAATTGGTTAATATTTGTAAATTTTTTCAGTTGCTAGCACTGTTTCTTTGACCACTGCTAGCAGAGCTAGACTTGAAAAAAAAACTTAATTGCTACATAAGTCCATGTTTTGTTTTTTTCTAAAAATTGTGAATCACATGCTGACTGTGCATTTTCTTCAAAAAAACAAACAGTAAGTGTTGCTAAAATTTAAACATGCTAATAATAACCCTTTTTGCACATGTAACCATATTCCTTGTGTTCAGTCTCCTTTCCTAATACAGTGTAACATCATCCAACTAATTTCTTATTGCTTTGAACATTTATGCTATAAGTCTTGATCTTCACAAGCCCCAAGTTTTCCTGGGCCAAGTAAAGCATGGAGCTTATGAAGGCCCATGGGAGTGATCATCCTCAGCTGTGAGTGATTGCCGCCACCACCGTATCTTGAATTTTATAACCACATTCAGTGTCTCACAATGGGAATGCTGAGGGAATTTCATCATTAAAAGTAATTAATGGCCTGGATCCTTGCAACAAGTAGACTTTTTTGTTTTTGCAACACTTGTGAAAGGAATCTTGTTTTAACATGTGCAGTATATCACTTCTAATTGTAGTGACTACATAGCAATGCTGTACAGTGCTAAAATATCTATTATAAACCCACAAGCAAAAAATCTGATCACTGGGACATGCTCATGAAGATATGATGCGACGTCTGCCAGGGTCATTCTGCAAGTCACAAAATAACTCAATGGACAGTTAAGATATATGGGAAGGGGTTTTGACTGACGTGCTAATACTGTTTATAAGGGTTTTTTTTTCCCCCCTCATTTCTTTTCTGTGCGGTCAATGTTATGTGCAGATGTTTCTCCTTTCTTTCATGCAAAAGTCAGGTGTCCATGACAAACCAGTGAGCACACATGGTATCCAGCACCATCAGATTAATGCTTCTTGATTAAATTTAGCCATTTGTGATTTTGTATAAA